AAAAAATCACAAAAGTTAAGAAAAAATCGATAGATCATCTTACACGCTTTGCACACTGATCAAAGTAACGAGGCTCAAAGGTACTCCACTATACGTCATACTGCATTAATCTGATTAAATGTTACAGTTTAAAATGATGAATAAACAATAGATGCTAACTCTGAATGTCTGTTCAATCTTTCCTTTCTACTAGTAAGTTAAATTAATTCTCCCCCTTCCCAACTCCCTGTCCTAAAAAAACAGCTACATCACATTTTAACTAGGCTAGTACAGCGGAATATACTAACAGAAAATTCTGTAAGAACTGTGAGGAGTATCAAAATGACGCTCTGAAAGGATTATCGGCTCAAGATTTCATGGAATTGCAAATATCACCACCAATTTTTTTCGATCCCTTCCTGTACGTAAAAATATTCACCAAGCAACTCAATAGAGATCAAAAGTGACGAAGAAGTAAGTGCAACAGTAGGGAAAGATAAGTCGCCGTAAAACATTCTAATAAGACACAGCACAACTTAACAGTACCTGAATCGCCTTTAAAGCATCCTCGCATCTCGCATAGGTTACATACGCCGTACAGGATGCTGATTGCGGAGCATTTGCAGACGAACCAACAGCAATCTAAATAAAATTGCATGCAAATCCGTGATTCTAAACTGAAACTGGCCACGGCAGGCAATTCCGTTTGGCCTTAAAATTTTTACGAAATACGCTCAAAAAAATAACAAGTGAAACACCCACTTTTAGAATTTTGCCAAATTTTCCAAAAAATTCTGGTTTTTTCAGGATTTCCGGATCTGCTACCCGAGAAGAGAGTCCAACAACATAAACCAGATTTTTTTGCAATACCCTTAACAAATAATATTCAGCCGGAAAGAACTGTCATCTTCCAGCGTAAAAAAAAAGCATACTCATCAAAAACCGCCGACGATGAACACATCAAAAAAAAAATACAATTACTAACGGTTGGCAAACAAGAAATTCCCTAAAAGTAAAACGAAATCTCCTGGAAGCTTCTGAAAAATGAGCCTTAAAATTAAAATTTTACGGATACCAGACCTGTACGCCGCAAGGTGCTTCCTTGATTCCGAAATTTTGTTCCTTTGTTGTAAAGCTTTCTGCTTTTTCTCTGATTTACTTTTTAAAACCTCAGATGCTGATAGCGGTTTAAAGTTGGCCGGGTTTTCAGGATATGGTTGTCTGCACGCAGGGCACAACCCGTTTTCATCAGTACGTATGCGATGCCAGCAAAAACGACAGATCTATAATTAAAAAACAGACCTTTTTTCGAAAGCTTCCTCACACTGGAACTACCAAAGCTTATTCGATAAAAATAAAACGATGACATAAATATAAACCTGATATCCACACTTGCAAGGGTAAAAGTCAATATCATCAATTTCCAGTGCCTCCATGCACAAGGGACACTAAAAAATCGGCATATTAATGAATAAAAATAAATTATGGAACTAAAAACTAACTGTGATTTATTATCAACTGCAATCTTGGTGCAAAGTCCTACTGAGGAAAATAAGGTTCGCTAAATTATTAAAAACAGAAAAACCTAACATCTTCTACCAGATCTAATTTTACAAAGAATAGCGAAAAGTGAATTTTCGTACTTTGGAATTTTAAACCAGAGACCAAATAAATTCTGAAACTGACAACCAACCATAAAACTGAAAATTTTTCCTTAAGATCCAACGAAAAAATTATGTTATAGGTCCACACGCCAATTATGTCATCTATTATGAAGTGCAATGAACTACTGAAGGAACAATAAGCCAAACATCAAAAAGTAATGAATGTGACCGACAATGCTGCTTTATTACATGACTTTTAACCAGTCTTCATGTGCTAAACAAATCAGAAGAGGATTAAACAAAAAACAAATGCCCCAAGGGTCCTAGAAACAGAATTCTTAGCCCAAAAAAAAAATTTACTAGAAAAAAATGACTTCAGCAAAAAAGCACCTAAAACAAAAGTAACTTTTGAACAAATTCAACTTCCGATTGTAACGAGTAAACTCTATAAATGTCCAAGATAATGAAGAATAACAAAAAGAAAATTTTAAAAACAAATTTTATTTCAGCGCAGGTGCAACGCACCACGCTGAAGCACCACACCACTAAGCATAAATGCTTCAAAAGAATCTTTTTTACGCTTCTAACCCCCCTCCAATATCCTAGATAAGTTTCGGCTATCTTTACTTTTGCATGAAGGAACAACCTATAAGCAACAAGAAAAACTGTTTGAATGCAGCTGGCCAGAAGGAGAATATATGCTGAGCAAAATTAAGAAGTAACAGGAGATGGAACGCAGAAACGCACAACCCGAGCACCAGACGCATAAAATTTCTACAACAGTGTTACAATCACATTAATACATGCTCCCTGTCATTGATATAGTTAAGCTATCAGTTATTAACAGCTGGAAGCTACTACTCCATTGTTAGATTACTCTTGTGAAAAAAATTTTAATGAATAAAACAAAGCCAGTAGAGTAGTGGTAACAGTAATAACAAATACAGTAACAACTATATAATAATAAAAATGATAATAATAATAAATTCAAGACTGACCTCTTTTTCGCATTGTTCATCGCTAGACATTTTTGAAATAATCACTTCACTTAGTTAAAATTACAATAAAATTGGGGGCTGTAGAGACCTGAAAAATAGCAGTAACGAACCACAGTTCCAAGGGAAACACAAAACTATGTTGTGAAAGTACTCAGACACTAGAGCAATCAATCCAACTATATGTATCGATATATATAACTACTTGACTGCTGCTCAACGGATTTTTAAAAACAACAAAATAACGTACTACCGTAATTATCCTCTTGGCTACCAATTAAACCATGAACATCAATAAAATTTAAACATTGGCAAAACACCAATTCTGATCTTTACGTTAGTTAGTTTTTTTCGCGTTTCTGACAATGTTCATTAGTGCTAAAACTGTTATTTGGCTCTTCTTCTCTAGTCTCTAATGGAAAAAAAAAAAAAAAAA